CGACCAGAGACGTAACAATATAAATAAGAATGGTTTGTTTGAATTTCGTGCAATGCTACATAGGGGCTATCTACGCTAGCAGTCCCTAATTTAGTGGTGAAAGACCAACTCTTGGGCTACTCTTTTACCAACGAATAGTGAGATGGACCGTCACATTATAATGCTCCCACGTACGTTTGGTGGGACGGGGATTGCGAGTCGAGTTCCCTAACCATCTGACCATGCCGGGCCATAAAAAAAAGAAAATATATGAAATGCCACAAAGCTAATAACAGTTTTGTGTAGTTTTTAAAATAAGTTTTATTTTATTTTTTCTTTAAAGTTTCACTTTCAGTACGGTTAACTTGTATAATATATGTTAAATTAGCTATACTCATTACTGGGTTAATATTTAGTTCTTATCTATGTATGTAGCTTTCTTTGATCGGGATTTGATGATACTATACTTTGATGTATACGTTACATTTGTACGTATAATGACATAAATTTTATTCATTTACTATCTAAATATCTTCAAGTAATATTCCTGGACGGTACGAAGAACAACACATCAATCATATGGGTTTTATTCCTGAAAGACATTTATGCAACACAATTTAGGATTTAATTGGTGTGTGCGTGGTGGGTGTGCTTATGGAGATGGAAGCTCTTGGGTTTTTCGAAAACAAAAACAGAATGTTATACGTGGAACAGCATTGGATTACCGTGTATCTTTACAATGCATACAGTAAAAACGTAAAACTGGTACTTTACCATGTTTCAAAGTTATTCTAGTCGTCTTGAAGGGGATACCCTCTCCTTCCCCTACAACTGGCGTCCCTGCATATAGGCTAAATCCTAATTTTTAAGTGATGATCAAAGGGAGGTCAACAAGACAGAAGCACCAGCCGCTTACTTGTTACTATTAACCAAATAGCAGGATTGAAAGTCACAATTGTATATACCTCCATCCGTTAAAGCTCGAAGAGTGTTGAACTGTATATACTTATGTTAAATATAAGGCCGTTCCTGGCCACACTACATTACTGTAATTCTTAAAATCATTAAAGTTTCAACCACGATATTTTCTGTTCAGTTGTACTCCTTTCAGTTTTTCCCTCTGCAAAGTTGAATTCGTTTTTGAAACTTAAATATGTTTGGTTGTTCTTATCAAAATATCATAATGTAAAACTTTATCCTGCGTGCTAAAGTCAGTAAAAAAAGAAATTAATGGAATTCACCAACTCATTTCTCAGAGGTTATTTTCAAAAATAAAAATAAATACATACATCACTTATTTCTCTCTAACTTAGCAATATAATAATTACATTTAGTAATAACTGCCTTCTCAACCGAGTAAGATTATAATTTCCCCAAAGATTCAGATTAAGAATAACGAAGAATAATGTTCCCCAAAAAGTTTGTTTAAAGGTTACTGCGGCCAAATTGTAGATTAAATTATCGTTCTTGGAGGTTTTAGAAAGGCAGCAAAGATATATAGGTCAAAAAGATTTAGTGTTTAGTATGAATATTGCCTCCGAAAAGAAATTACCAGGATTTTGTCATTATGATTCTAAAAAAATACGTAGGTTCAGTATTTTAAGAAGTGTTTTCAAGTTAGCATTATTGGTCATTTAGCATTTTATTTCATATATTTTAGGCATTTGTTTTAAAAAACAAACTAGTAGTATCATTGTTAATCTTAAACATAACTCGCTAATTTACAAACAGTTGGAAGATCCGGATAACTATATCCAATTTTATACAACGATTTTTTTAAACACCCAAAAATTACACGCTATTTTGTATGAAACGACTGTATTGTCTTCGTGGCATGTTCATTAGGGTTAATAATCTTTTAAGACTTAGTAAGTAACATGATCCAGTCTTAATTAATTTTGTTTGTTGTTAAGCGCAAAGCTACGCAAGATGATTTATCTGTACTGTACTTGCCGCTCATATTGAACCTATAATTTTAGCATTATAAGCCCCTCAAATTTACCATAGATTCACCTGCAGCGACTTAACATACATCGAAAAATATATATAAATCTGTTACACAGACATTGTTCAGCTCCTGCACGTGTAGCGAGATGCTCAAAAGTCAATTCATAGTGTTACGACAGCGGAAGTCACGTGACGCTGCTGGCGCGTTTGGCGCTGGTAGCGTGCATGAAATTTCTCGAATGATCAGGGAGGCCCTTCGTTGGTATATAAGCCTGACAGAGAAGCCAGCAACGATAATGAATGTATGATAGTTAAGCGAACAGTAGTTACAGTTTTTCGGGTAATATATAGTGTTTTGCACTCATAGAGAGCAAAGTTACAGATTGTGAATCACTGATTTATAGCGTGTATTATAAAAGTAGTTAAGTTTAAAGTGACGAGAAACGTACTGATTGTGAAATGACAGTATACTAAAAGTTCGTATCGAGAAAGAATAAACTGGTTTAATCAAGAAAGGAGTTGTATTGCTGAAGTTCCTCGGAAAGTATTTCTATCGGAAATTAACAAACAAGCAGATACGCAACAATAGTAATCAACAAGAAGACTGCTATAATGATGTTGCTACCGATTTGTTGCCTGTGGAGCAAAACTTTCCAATTTCCGAATCAAGGAGTCTATGGGACTATTAGCTGTTCATTTCCCGTATACTGGGGCCATAAGAAATTAATATCCCTTAAGAGTTTTAACTGGAACTTCCTTTAAGTTTCAATTAATCTTAATTTCTACCAATCACATATCTGGCTAGCCGAAGTAAACAGTCAGATAATCCCCCCTAAAAAAACAACACTCAGCTTAAGAGTAGCGATGATTACAATTATTCGGTTAGAAAATACTTTCTACCTATTTATAACTTCAACGTTAAAACCAATGCAAAAAAAAAATAAAAATCCATTACTTCTTAATGACACCCGAATTTTTCTCCGATATGAATACTGAACATTATACATTTGTTTTAACATAGAAAAATTCTCATTACACAAAGTTATTAAATTTCAAATAACAACAGCTTTGTTCAAGAATAAACCAAGTAATTTAGCTTCTTGTTGGTACACATTTCCAGCAGGGTATTTTTGTATTAGTCGATTAAGTTATACGGGAGTAAAAACTAAAAGGACGACAATGAGATTATTACAGTATTCTTCCCATGATTTTTTCATAACTTGCACCTTGAACTAGCTTTTGAAGTGCTAGTATACTTTTAGTACAGGGTACAAGTTGAAATTTGTGAATCTAGTTGGCAACTTAAACTTTCGTGTCAACGTTGCCAAGTGAATATTTATTCGTAACTAAAAGTCATGTGTACATTTTTTTTTTTTGCAATTATGTTCTAAATATAGCGCCCGCGTTTTACATCAGCAATTAAACCAACTGAAAAAAAAAGAAAGACAAAAAACATAAATTAAGAAATTTTCTTCAAGTCTAAATGATAATTATAAAAATTGTTTTTGTAGTGCAAGTGAGTGTTCCCGAGTAATCCTTTTCATGTTACATGTCGATTCAGTAACTCAATCGCTGTACACATTTTGATGGTTCCACAGAAGATCAGTTAGACATAGAACAATTGGTAACGTTTTTCCGGACCTCTCTCTCATTAAGTTATTAGGTAGTACACCAGGAGCACGAATATATCAACAACTGAATTTAGTGTTAAAAATTTATTTGCCTTTCAAATATACTATTACAGCAGCACAATGTTTGCAAAGTTAAAGCACTTAAGTCATAAAAAAAACACTTAAACCTGACACGTAAAGTTGGATGAAAACCAAAATTAACTCAAAAGTTAAGTAACCGTTTTAATTTTAGGATTACGGCTTGATTTAAATTTTTAATAAAAAAATATTTAAATTAGTAAAAAATAAAATAGGTATTTCATTTTAGATATGCGAAAGATCAGTAATTATCGAGTTTAGTTATAACCACTATTACTTTAATGTAACTAACTCTTAAACCTTCTGAACATTATTATTTCATAAGAATGCATTTAATTCATTATTCCTAATTTCTATGGCAGAATACTCTTATCTTATTACTAACGCTTCTACCACAGAATTTCCTACTTTAGTTTCAATTTAATATTTAAAAAGTTTTTTTTTATTTGCATACAGTAAAACCCAATTTTTGGAGGCGTGCAAAAAGTATTTCCTTCTTTCTTAATTTTGCAATATATTAAAGATTAAATGAACATTCAATATACCTAACATTAAAAAAAAAAGTTGAATGCACTAAAAACCATCACATTTTGAAAGAACGCGGTAATTATCACTTATCAATATAGCTTCTGCAACATCCACGCAGTATGATAAATAACTAGAACCAAGACAGGGATTGAATAGTATACATTTGAAGATGTGCATTTTTTAATTAAATGAACCATTTAAATATTTTGGGTTTTCCAAAAAATAACAATAAAAATTCCGCACTCACAAGTGAACTTCAGGAAAAGTAGTAAATATCAGGGGATTACTATTCACACTAGAATAATGTAAAAGTAACTAGTTATTTCTATTAATTTATCAATCTATACTTGCATTTGAGTGAAAAATCTCATAAAGTTCCAAAATGGTGATATTAAAACTTATTTGGATGTAGACAAAACGGACACAAGTTACACAAAATAAATATATTCGCATTAGCAAAACAATTAAATACTTATATAAGAATTGTTTTATTTAACGGATTATACTGCAGAATAGTGGAGAGGATGTCTATGAACGGTTCATTTTTTGCAAAGAAAATAGGTCCAAAAAGTGGCATGTTATAGCCTATCACAATGGTAGTTCGCTTGAAAGCTGGCCATTGCGCGATATTAGCCAGAGGATACTAAATTGGCCACTTTATTTTGGCGCACTTCCTGGGCATGTCGCACCTATAAAAGACAAAAATAAAAAAATGAAATAATACACAATGCCCTGAAGCTCCATCTAGATTCCCAAATGTCAAAACATCGTTACACTTTATCAAAACTTGGGGAAATGTTGCATGATGTCTTTCATATTCGGTTTTAGAATTTAAGATTCCGTTACAGTTCACATTACAATTCAACAAGTTAGCATACCAATTATTTAATTTATGTAGTGAATATTGGTGTATAGAACACATTAATACTAGAAGTGAACGACCTTATAACACCAAAATGTTGTTTTATTTAATTAGACACTCAAAGCTTTGTACTGTCAGTTTCGGTTTGCGTTTTAGTGAACGCTCCTGAAAA